GAGTAAAGGAAAAAAATTTACTAATACAAAGGTACTGATATTACAACAGATATTTTTTTTTTTTTTTTTTTTTTTTTTTTTTTTGTCTTTTTTCGTGTCTGGCAACGGATTGCAACCCTCAGTGTCGCGCCCGTACCGGACCAGGACCGGCAATGGGATCGCAACCCTCGGTGTTGGGCCCGCACCTCGCTCAGCCAGTGAGCGGGAACCGGTCTGTATGTGGGATCCGAACCCTCGGCGGGAGCGCCACCGCACTCCCAAGCGGCGCACTGTAGCAGTGCGCCACCGGGCCGGCCCACAACAGATATTTTTGATTGAAATATCTTCAGACAAACTTTTTAGATACCTTGTATGTTTCTGACACAATTCAGAGAATTCTATGGATAGTCCCTAAATCACTGAGCTGTTAGCTTACCAAGTGTTGCTCAAGTCCCAGCTTGGTCAACTGGATCCATAGCTGTAACCTTAGACTTGGGGCACCTGCTGAGTTGAGGTGAATCCTCAAACTATACTGACAGAGAGCTGAAAGAATGAGGAAGTGGTCGCTCCACTTAGAGAGCTTGTTGATTTCTGGTCACTATACTTTAAGAGGTCCTTGGAAAAAGGGAGGACATTTATAGGAGAGTGGAGGGAATGGTGAACAGATCTGAAGATGTGGCCTCGGAGAATCAGATAAAGGAACTGGATAGGACAAGCCCTGTTTTGTTTTGAGGGGGATGTAGTAGGAAAGGTGGTGAATAGAATAGTGACAGGAAAGCATTACTTAATCTGTGATTCCTTCCCCCCACCGTAAACAGTAGAACTACAACCAAAGGGAGAAATTTAGAGAGAGAGAGAGAGAAATCCTGTAGAAATAACATTTATGAAATTTTCTATGTGTTGGACACTGGGTTATGGAATTTCACACACATTACCATGTTTGATCACATAAAACTACGTAATTTTTAATTAATTTATGTGAGAGATTTGGCACACCAAAACTGTTTGTATTGCCCTCTGATGAAAGGAAAGTCCTGGAAATTTTAAAATTTCTTGTCGTGGAGGTTTTAAGCACTTGGGAATGCTGTGGAGGAAATTTTATCCTTCCCTCTCTTTCAAACTCAGGGTTTAAAGTTTTAAAATAAATTTTAGAATTATAATCATCCTTGTTTATTAATAATGTTCAAGCAATGACAGGTTTTCAGCAAAGCAAAAAAAAAAAACGTGAAATGACATGTGACCCAGCTTTTTTTTTTTTTTTTAAAGGGACTATGTTCTTTACTAATTTCAAGTAATGAAAACAATGGAAATTTATTTAAAAAAGACTTTTAAAGATCTTGCATTTTTTACCTTGTTGTCCTCTTCTTGTTTTGTTTTTATAGCTGTGATGATGGCTACACTGGGGCAAGGTGTGAGAGAGTTGACTTGTTTTACCTAAGAGGAGATAGAGGACAGATTTTGGTGATTTGTTTGATAGCAGTTATGGTAATTTTTATCATTCTGGTCATCGGTGTCTGCACATGCTGTCAGTAAGTATTTTTAAACTTAGTTTTAAGTAAATCTGATAAATTGTATCTGGCTCATAGTTTTCTTTCCTTCCTCCTTTTCTTCCTTCCCACCCCCTTCCTCCCTATCTTTTCCTTCCCTTTTGCTTTGATATAAACAAATCTACTTTTTGAAGTTTGCTATCATTGATATTGAAGTATTTGTTTGTAATAAAACACATAATACATAATTTTTATCATTTGACTGAACACAATTATTTTGTAGTTTAAAACATTTGTATAAATGTTCTTTAAAAAAGCCAGTCATTTATTCCTAAAGTCAGTTATGTTTTGTTTATTAGTAGGCTAAATAAGACTTTTATTTTCTAAAATATGACACAACAACCCTGAAAGATAGAAAGAAACATTTTTTTTTTTGCTTGATGACATTAAAATAATGAGTTTTATGTGCAAACGATGATTACACTCTTTTCCCTTTTAATTTGCATTATATACCACAGCTTTGGGAATTAAGAAACACCTTGCTATTTCTCTGAGGCAGAGTGGCTTGGTACAATTCTTCAGCTAGTTTCTTTTGGAAACATTTCACATTTTTTATAATAGCAGGACTACCCCTTAATATGCTAAAAAGGCAATTTATAAAGTACTGTCTTATCTTGAGAAGTCAGCTCAACTTCCTAAACTGTTGCCTCTATTCTATTTCTGTGCTGTGGTTCGCACCAAAAGAAGGTGTCTTGTGATTCCTTCCCTCACAATGTTCTTGGGAGAAAAACACTAGCAGGGAGGAAGTCTTTGATGTTTGTCCCAGCTCCGCCATTACAAACATATATCTTTGAGACCTTGGACAAATTACTTAACATATTAAATTTTATTTTCTGGGGCCAGCCCGGTGGCCGCTTGGGAAGCGCGGCGGCGCTCCCGCCCGAGGGTTCGGATCCCACATACAGACCGGTTCCCGCTCACTGGCTGAGCGAGGCGCGGGAGCAACGCCGAGGGTTGCGATCCCGTTGCCGGTCCCGGTCCGGTGCGGGGGCGACACTGCGGGTTGCAGTCCGTTGCCGGACACGGAAAAAGACAAAAAAATAAAAAATAAATAAATAAATAAATTTTATTTTCTGTAAAATGCGATTATTAAATCAGATAATCTGTAGGATTCCTTTTAGCTATAAAACTGAAAAATATTTTTTATTTTACCTACTTATGGTAGGAAGGAATATTTATAATACCAGGTTTGGGGAAGAGAATTAGTTGGGCACATCTGGGAAATAGCCAGTTTTTTTACATTAACTTTGAACTGCACTTTATGAAAACTGGATTGCAGTCTAGTATATCTAACACATTTCTTAATTAATGTATCTAGAAGCTTAATTAATACGTACATCCAGAGGCTACTGTCACTTTCTTGGTTTTCTTATGCCTGTTTCCAACGTTCTTGTTTACACACTAAATAATGCTCTTCAGTCTATTTTGTAAAATTACTTGGCCTGAGGAATTTTATTTTGCTATCTAAGCTCCATCAACGATCAAATGCCACATTCTTTCTATTTATTAACTGTATTCCTATGGTAGCTAGCATTTTAGCCTAAAGAAAGAGATGGGTTAAGGGAGAACCCAAAATATTTAAGGGGGGGGGAAAAGGAACCTATGCATTTTTAACAGTCTAGAAATAAGATCATAGGCTCTCTGGATGAATAATTCTGTGTATACATGAACTAAGTACATATCCATACTAATTTATAATACATTCTTTTCTAAGTCCTCTTCAGAAACGTCGTAAAAGAAAGAAGGAGGAAGAAGAAATGGAAACTCTGGGTAAAGATATAACTCCTCTAAGTGAAGACATTCAAGAGACTAATATTGCTTGATGGTAAGTGTTATAAACTTAGTAGATGGAAAACTATTCAGGTGACATTTAACTGGTGAGATGGAACTTAATCATATCCAATAAATAATTGATTGTAATTTGATTATTTTTAAAAACATCTAAAAATAAATTGATGGTTTTTCATAGAATCTGGAGCTAACTAAAAGACTTTCTCATGTCTTCCTTCTGCATGTTACCGCTGAGATAGGTATTCTAATTCTGCATGATTGTGGTGATTATAGTATATATTTTTCTTCCTTATTTTTGGGCACAAGGAAGAGGTATTTTAATTTAGACTTCTCACATTGAAAGGAAATAACAATAGCAATATTTTAATAATAAATACATTTTCTGATCATTTACATCATGCCAAGCACTGTTTTCAGCTCTTCAAATGTTACATCAGTTAGGATCCTGGTAGGAATCACAAATCCTCTCAGATAATCTAATAAAGAGATTTTGATGAAGGGACTCTGAGGGTGGGGTTAAGGGAACCCACAAGGACTGTCCGGCTCCCTGAGTCCAGCAATGGCAGGGCTGTGTGTCCATCCTGTCACCTTAGCACTCAGAGGAAGGAGGGGAGCCCTCAGGCAGGAGCTGTAGTTGTATAGGGAATAGCCACTGCGGGAACCTAAACAAGGATAGAGGGAGGAATCAGGAAAAACTCCCCCAAATTTCTCTCATCCTGCCTTTGGATCTTCAGCAGGTACCTCCTACTAGCTAAACCTAAGCAGAAGGCAGAGGGCAATGATGCCCTGGTGATGGAATCCGAAGTGACCAGTTCCCTGGAGACAGAGCAGGACAGAGAAAGGATTTAAGGGGGCACACACAGAGCCTGACTAAAGCAATCGGGAAGGATGATTTTGGTCGTAATAACATCAAACCCAACTCGAACTGGCTTAAAACTAAGGCAACATATTGGCTCACATAAATGGCAGTCCAGAGGGAAAGTGGGCTTCCCACCTGGTTGAACCAGAGGCTCACACTTAAGGACACAGATTATTTCTCTTTTTCTGCTCGCCATTCAAAGTGTTGGCTTTGTCCTTGACCGATTCCTCTTAGGTCGTGGGAGAGGCCAGCAGCAGTCGGGGCCACATGTTCCCTTGTTCACATCCTGCATGAGAGAGCAGTGCCTTTCCATAGTTCTCTCACCTGTATGAAGAATTTCCTTTCCCAGAAAATCCCAGCAGCTAAAAGGGGTATTGTGAATGCTTGTCATGAAGTTATAATGTTTCCTAACTTGTTATGTGGACAGCACACATGAACAGAAAACAAAAGTGCTGGCTCTGGATTTTTAAAAAATTGTTATTATTGCATAGTACATTTCTTTCAAATGGCCTGCTCTTATTTGCTTCATTCCCACAGGCTATGAAGGTACCTCCAGGCTGGTGGCAAGCTGCAAAAGGCCTTGCTCATTTGCAAATGGACAGAACGTGTCTCAGGAAAACAGCTAGTAGAAATGAATTTTAAATAATGTATTTACTTTTTATTTGTAACTTTAGTTCATGTTGTTCGTTATTTTTAAATTTTATTATTGTCTAATATTGGGGGAAAAGTGCCCAGTTAGGTAGCACCAATGAGAAGGGAAATTTCAATAAACTTTCACTTAAGTTTTGTCACCAGGTTTACTAGTCAAAAAAAAAGAAAAGTAGGAAGGAGTGTGGATCTTAGGAATCAAATTATTAATAAAGCTACCATTTACCAAACACTTACCATATACTAAGAGTTTGAAATGTATTATTTCTTTGATTACTTTCAGCACCCTGTGAGATACATATTATGCTCCTCATTCCCCAGATATGGAAACAGGCCCAAAGAAGTTAAATAATCTAATCCAGATTTAGAGAGTGAGGAACTGGTGGAGCTGAAATTGTAACCAAGATTTCCCCAAATTGAAAGTCTGTGCTGTTAACCATCGTTTTTGTTCATCTGAGTTGGTGCAACCTAACTCAATGATACAACAAAATTTCATACGGAGCTGTGTTTTGCTGTTTCTGGGATGCCAAGGCCATTTTCCTGCAGGATCACAGAATGCAGAGTCCTGGCCTATGTTGCTGTTACCATCATGCTTTATGTAGAGTTGACTTTTATTATGTTTCTTTATTCCTTTATAAATTCTCAGTGACATGAATACATTCTTACATTATTAAAGCAAACAGATTTGCCCGATAACTAGGGTAATGAATAGAGATGGAAGTGAATGCCTGACATTCTTTAAGCCCTAGGTAAGTGTTTATGCTCAATAATGTATGAATATTAGCACGGGAAGAGGCTGTTTATGTCAGGGCAGTAGTCGGTGACAGCACTGCTGAGAGCACAGGCAAAGACTGGTTGTGACGATATTTTCATTTTTATTCTTCTTGACACCAGCATGCTTGTATATGATTACTCTCAGATGAATTTTGGTGCAGTAAAATCATGACCATAGCATCTATTACTTGAGACCATGTTACCAAATATTCCTTCAACTTCATGGTATATTTAATGAAGACTGCATTAAACTTAAAAAGAGAAATCTACATTTAGCCAATATTCCATAGAACATGGAACTTTTTACATTGATTAAGTGGATGACTTAACAAAAACCAATGGAAGGTGTCCTCAAATTGCTGCTCTTTGTGCCTGTCAGTCAAACAGCTTCTTTTCCAGAATTTTTATAAATTTTACTTTGTAATGTAGATTCCATAGCCAAGGGAAGTGAAAAAAGACAAAAGCTGAAATTGCATATCTCCTTCTAGCATGCATAGTGTTTTGAGTAAGGCTGGGACTGTGCTTCTATATAATATAAGAAATAGCTCACTTACTATTAAGAGCTGTCAAACAACTAATAATTTTCAAGATCCATTTTTTCTCCTGACTTAATGGTCATCTTTGAAACAGGATTATGTCCAATTGCTTCGTGTTGCTTCTTTGGATTTATTAATGCCCTTTCTGTCCTTCAGCCTTCTTTGATACTAAAAGAGCTTGAAACAAATACCCATTAGAGCATTTAAGAACACAAAACAGTGCTGTAAATGTTTCTTTACTGGACTGAGGTTGGCTGACCAATGGAATCCATCAAGCCAATTCGGGCTTGGAAATTTTGTTTTGATCCTAAAATGTTAATGGTGTCTCTTGAAATTTGGTAGGTCTGATATGAATAAAGAATTTCAAGGATTTTCATAACTTTTCAAAATGTACTTTTAATTGTTTTTCGTATACTAAGTGACTTTGTTTATGTAAACTGTTAATATTATCATGTAATAAATTTATTTTTAAAACAAAGCAAACATTTTTACTTGGGTATTTTCTATTGGTAATAAGAAGCATTAATAGACATACATTTGAACACTATTCTTTTTAGAGCCTTTATACTGCTATATTCATGTGCCACATAACTACATTTTGGTCAACAACAGACCAGGTATACAACAGAAGAAAAAGAGGAAGAATCTCAAAGAAAATTTACAGTGAAGGGTTTGGAAGAAGCTTTTGCAGACCTCAACAAGGTCCTTAAAAACTCTGAAAACATGGACTCTAACACCAAAAGGGATTTATTAAGAGAGAAAAGTCCATGGTGCATTATCTACTTACAAACAAATCTATGACGAAAAAAATAAACAAACCTGAACTTTCAAAAGGAGAGAACAGGACTGAGGTTACCAGAGGTGGGAAAGGAGAAGAGGAAGGTGAGGGGGTTAGCGAGATATTGGTAAAGGGCCACAAAAAATGATTACATTGTGTAATGTTAAATATACTAATTATCCTGATTTGAGCATCACTCATTGCACACAGGGATTGTTATTCAACTCCGTACCCCACAGATATGTACAATCAACTATGTTGTAATAAAAAAAGAAAAATGAAAGAAAGAAAAGAAAAAAAAAAAAAAAGAAACCAAGCAAACCACCACAAACATATTTCTGAAAAGAGGGACACCTCCTCAAGAAGAGCTTCGGGCAGGCCCTTGAGGAAGTATTGCAGAGGAAGACACTGTTATCATAGGAGATGACAGCTCTCTCCATGTAAGTGCCCCTGAAGACCTTCCAATGGGACAGGATGTAGAGGTGAAAGACCGTGGTATTGATGATCCTGACATTGTGCAGGCCTGGGCTAATGTGTGTGTTTGTTTTTTAGATTTTGACATAAAAGTGTAAAAAGTAAAAAAAAAAAATTAAAGATAGAAAAAAGCTTGTAGAATGAGGATATAATGAAATAATATTTTTGTATAGCTGTGCAATATGTTTGTGTTTTAAGCTGTGTTATTACAAAAGAGTCAAAAAGTTAAAAAAAATTTAGTTAATAAGCTAAGTTAATTTATTATTGAAGAAAGAAAAATTTTTTTTTACAAATTTTGTGTAGCCCAAGTGTACAGTGTTTGTAAAGTCTACGGTAGTGCACAGTCATGTCCTAGACCTCCACATTCACTCACCACTTACTCAGTGACTCACACAGAGCAACTTCCAATCTGCAAGGTCCATTCACGGTAAGTGTATTATTTTAAAAAATCTTTAAACCTTATTTTTACTGTCCATTTTCTATGTATAAATATATTTAGATACACAAATGCTTACCATTGTGTTACAGTTACCTACAGCAGTCAGTACAGTAACATGCTGCACAAGTTTGTAGCTTAGGAGCAATGGGCTATACCATATAGCCTAGGTGTGTAGTGAGCTATGTCATCTGGGTTTGTGTTAAACACACTCTATGATGTTCGCACCTAGACAAAATCTCCTAACGATGCATTTCTCAGAATGTATCCCTGTCATTAAGCAATGCATGACTCTACTTTATAAAAATTATCCATTAATGCATTTGAAATATTCCATTCTGGCTATGTGTTTTTTTTAGAAAGTCAAGAATTTGGAAGTGTGGTGGTGGACACCTATGGGACTGTCTGCTCAATACCCTGGTTGTATTTTTTAATTCCACCTTCAGCAGCATTTGTTTGGTCTAACCTGGGCACTTAATGAATTTGGGTCAATTGGAGTCATTCCCAGGGGACTTGGGACTTTAAACTGAAGTCAGTTTTCTTTGGGTTCTTGTTGTACAAAAATGTGCATTTTGAAGATATTGTCAGTTAAGTTTTGCCTCATGTGGACCAGAAAAACAAAGGAAGCTGGTCAACAGAGAGAAAGAGAAGTTTTCAGCAAATGCCCAGTAAAGAATAGAGATGAAAGACACCAGTTTCCTGACAGAAGCCGAGTCCTGGTTACTTGTGCTTTCAGAGTTTAGCCTCATTCCATCTATGGGCTCCACGAGACATGTTAGTGTCTTTATAATAAATTCCTCATTTGGCTTAAGCTAGCTCTGTTTAGTTTTCAGTAACCTGGAGCCAAGATCCTCACCAATTCAGGTGCATCCTGACATTGTGGGCAATGGTTTCTTGATGTGGGAGCAATGTGTTCTTTGAAATCAAATGGTTTGTATTCTATTTTATTGTCTTAAATGTTAAATACAAGTAAATGCTCCAAAGCGTCTCATAGAATGAGGGGATTGAAATAAATCATTTGTTCACCTTTCAATCATTTTGCTATGGCTGCCTATTTCAAATCTATATATTTTTTAAATGCAGGCATATGTATACCAAGGTTTTGGAGACACTGACTATGCCTGATGTAATATCCAGTAATTCCAAACCACTATGAACTTACTTTCAAATATGTGTAGCTGAGTTCACGTGTGTTGAGGCTTCCTATAGAGCTAGGAGTTCTCTAACTTCCATGTAGAATGAAATACATATTAAAAGATAAATTTTGAAAGTGTGTTACTTTAAAATGTAATAAGTTTTTTAAAATTTATTTTTAAAAACTTTATCATTATACAATGTAAACATTTTTGGGGGCCCTTTACTAATTTCTCCCTTATCTCCCCATCCCCCTTTTCCACCTCTGGTGTCCTCAGTTCCATTCTCTCCTTTTGGGAATTCAAGGAATTATTGTGATTGTTGTATCTTTCTTTTTCTTTCTTTCTTTCTTTCTTTCTTTCTTTCTTTCTTTCTTTCTTTCTTTCTTTCTTTCTTTCTTTCTTTCTTTCTTTCTTTCTTTCTTTCTTTCTTTCTTTCTTTCTTTCTTTCTTTCTTTCTTTCTTTCTTTCTTTCTTTCTTTCTTTCTTTCTTTCTTTCTTTCTTTCTTTCTTTCTTTCTTTCTTTCTTTCTTTCTTTCTTTCTTTCTTTCTTTCTTTCTTTCTTTCTTTCTTTCTTTCTTTCTTTCTTTCTTTCTTTCTTTCTTTCTTTCTTTCTTTCTTTCTTTCTTTC